CAGATTTTAATTTCTTTTGAATTGAACTCTTAGAAAACTTCTAACTTAAAAAGTTTTTTCTGAACATCTTATTACCAAAGCAAAAAGAGGTAAATTTTCCTGATTAATCATTACCATGTTGAGGGAATATTTGGGATATATTCAGATGCAATGTTTAGTGAACAAATCTCTAAACTTTGATATTTGGTGATGCAGAGTTCACTAACAAACTTAACCACCTAGCTATTTTCCATTATACAATGCCAAGGAAAGATCTCTCATAAAAAAAAGAGTTGCAGTGATGGCCCCCACCCCACCCTGCAAAAAAAATGTTCATTTTTTTTTCTCTGTCTACTTGTTGATAATAATTTGTTTCACTGTTTTTCATATCTCTCAAAGTTAAACAAATTATATCAGCAAAGAAGAAAATTTCTTTTGTTTCCTCCATCTTGAATCATTTCATTAACATCTAAATGTACAGGGTAATTGAAAAGCTGCTCCCCATTTTAAAATATTTATAATTTATTAACTATAATTTTTACAAGAAATGGATATAAGAGGAAAGAATTTAGCATGAGGTTTTATTTAAAATTTGATATGGGCACCAGATTTCACTACCAGCTCCTTGAGTCACACAGAAATCGCATCAACTGATTTCACTAAAAACCCTTGTGGTATGGAAGACACAACTTCTTGTATTTGTCATTCAAGTTTTTCCAAAGTCTTGGTTTGGTGTAGTAGATTTGCTCCTTTAACCAATCCCAAAGAAAAAGGTCACAGGGTGTTAAATCAGGACTTCTGGCTGATTACTCATACATAAAATAGGGAGTTACTTTTTAATAACCCGGTATATCTTCTGCTAATGTTTTTTGTTTTTTTTTTTATGCATGAAGAAATTTGATATTACAAGTTGAGGAACTTAATTCACTGTGATATTAATAAGCATGACAAATAGAATTAGAGTAATTACACGAGTTTTTAAATTTGATCTTTACAAAAAATTTAAAAAAAAATTTTTTTTTTTTTTTTGGTTGAGGGAGAGGAGAGATTTTTTTAATGGTTGTTACTTAGCAAAATAAATTTTAAAATATTGAAATACCAATAAGAAAAATAAGTAGCCTGTAAAAATTAAGAAATGTATGAAATTTGTTTACTTAAATGCCCTAAATTAAACAGGAGATATATATATATATATATATATATATATATATATATGTGTGTGTGTGTGCTATTTTAGTAGATACCCATATTTGAGTAGATATTACATTTATTTAAACAGTATATATTTTATCTGCCAGCCTGTGTACTACAGAAAACTTAATAAAAAAATTTAGATTCTGACATGATTCAAACCTGTATCCCCCTTTGTAGGAGGAACCACTGTCTGATCAGACGTGCTTTTACTGCTCAGCTATGAAGAACTTCACAATAAGGCAAGGTTCTATTTTGCCTTTAAAGCACACTGACTCATTTAGATTTTCATGAAAAACATACACACACACACACATATATATATATATATATATATATATATATATATATATATATATATGATAAAATATAGCTTTATGGTATACTATATTTATGGGTTAAGTTCTCAATATCAGGGATACACATAAACACAACGCACATGGCCTGACAATTGTGTTTAAAATTTATGCTAAACACAATCGTCAGGCCTTGTCATCTCTAGTTCTTGATTTCAATGTTCACTATATATCTCCACCAAAAATAACATTTAAAGTGATAAAATCTGTTGCATTAATAAAATAAAAAATCCATTACTTCTTTAAAAATTGCTTTATGTTTGGATACAAAACTGAGCAGACATGAAATTGAGAATCTAGGAAAGATTTGTGCTTATAAGGAACTATTTTCTTCAATAAGATTTATTGAATATTTAGGCCAGTAGATGAAAATAAATAAAAATACTGTCTACTCAAATCCCATCAAAACAAAGTTTAAAGTGATAAAATATATATATCAGAAACTATTTTATGTTCATCAATATTTTCATAAACATTTGTATCATGGAATAAGTTTTATTTTCTTGTTGTAGATATTCAGGTATTCTTGTTAAAGATAACAATCCCACCTCCTTTGTCCGAGACAGTTATGGGAATTTCCTAAACTTTTCATAAAAGCACTAAAAGATATAAAGAACATTGGTATTAATGCCTCAGAGAAAGGGGGTGGGATTGTTATGCTGAATTCGAATACCTGAATACCTACAATGAAAAAAAAATAAAACTTACTCCATGATACAAATGTGTTGATTTTTTTTGTGTGTGGGGGGGGGGATATATATCCTTCCTCAAAGAAGGAAATAAATGAAGAGAAAATGAAGTTCTTTATTTCAAGAGATGTATGAAATGTCCCAGGGAGACATGGGGAAACACTAAGATGAACTTTTGATAGGCCCTAGTGCATAATATTTGTCTGTTTATTCTTCAGTAGCAATCATGTTTCTGACTTTATAAAAACTTCTCAGTTTTCTATTTACATTCTTTAAATTATACTAATTTGTTTAGGCACAGCATAAAAGACATTGTTTAAATAGTCAAGAAAATTTTCTTTGACATTTTCTAATGCCATCATTATTATCAACAATTGTTGAAATCCTTTTGTTCATTTTTAACAAAAATTATCTTACTTCTATCATTTCTTTTATAAATATTTGTCATTAGCATTCAGTTAACCACCATTCATATAGTTATAAATTCAGTTAAAATTAGCAATGCTACTCTCACCATTGTTATTTATCCAGAAAGGATGAAATTGTAATAAAATTGGATTATAGATACGTCGAACCTATTTGTAGAGATAGACATTTAAAATTTATCATTTATTATAAAATTGAAAACGAGTAACCTAATTATCAAAAATAATCTCTCTCTGACCCACTACATAAGACTAGTGTTGTTTATGAATTTATTTGTCCAGTCAGAGATTGCATTTATGTAAATAATAAACAAAATATGTTATATATAGGTTATACAACTACTTTTTCACATAAGCTCACATGCCATTTATATGAACAAAATGCTATTAGACAACACATTAACAAGTACATGCAAGAATTATAATATTAGACAGCTCCTAATACTAAAATACATCATAAAACCAATTGCATAAAAAGACTAAAAACTACTGAAGCCATTTACATTCAACATAAGCAACCATTCATTAATGAAAATTCACTATAAACGGTTTTAAACAATTCTTGAATACATAAAAAAAATTACATAACACACATTGCCATTATATGTTACTGACACATGACATGCTACATGCAACCAAATTGTATTTAGTTTTCAAACAAAAAGTATTTCATTTTTAGATATTTTTCTTAATCATCTATTATGTTTAAATTTGTCTTTTCTCTGATGATCCCTTTGTTTCTCCGATTCTTTTCTACTGACGGCTTTAATATTCTTTACTTAAGATTTTCCTCAAACCTAAAGCAGAAAGTCTCTTTGGTTGTCAGGACACATGGCACAGTGGATAAAGGTGTTAGTTAGATCCAGTTACAAGACCCAAAGAGCGCGAGTTCAATACCCAGTTAAGGCAGTGGAGAATTAACAGGAGATAACTGATATCCATTAAACATGGCATGTAGAACTAGAACAGTCTACCCCAGTGAGTGAAATAAAGGGTTCAGTTTGACATTCCAACTACCTGAAGAAGGCTGGAGCATACAACGTCCGAAATGTAATAAATATGGCGACAAAGATGGGGACAATAGTCTGAATAATGTAAATAGTGTAGCTTCAGCTTTATCTCAAACTGTTTTCTGACTTTTTAAGTCTCTTTGAATAAATTATTTTTAACTTTTACCCAGAGATCAATCTGTCTTATTGTAAACAGCAAAACTATATATATAATTTTTTTCTTTAATATAAATCCACAATACACGGATTACAAATTGGAGATGCCAAAATCAAGCAAGTACAAAAATTTCAGTATCTAGAATGTATTTTTATAGAGGATGAAATGTGCAGCACTAAAATCAGGGGGGTGCATTGGGATAGCAGAAAATACATTCCAAAAGTTAAACAAAATATTAAGAAACAGGAAATTTTCATTAGAAACAAAGAAAAGGGTACTTAACTATTATTTAATATTAGTCCTTCTATATGACAATGAATGTTGTACAATCTCATTGTAAAAGACTTACAGCAACAGAAATGAGGTTCTACAGAAGGATGCTGAGAATATCATGGACTTAACAATGACAAATTTTTAGAGAAAATGCAAGCAAAAAGGACACATACTTAAAATAAGAAAGAGATGGTTGAGATTTCTAGGTCATATAATGGAGGAAAGAGGGTTTAGAAAATTTGACACTGACAGAACAGGTAAGAGAGACAGAATAAAACAGCACATAACCTACCTAACTAGCTTGTGTAAATGGTTAGCAGAACAAGGATTAGGAAAGATAGCAAAAAGACAGAATTTGTGGAGAACCATGATTGCCCACATCCTGAAGGGACAAGGCACATAGAAAAAAAATTATCTTTTATTTATCTTTGGAAAGCAAGATTAGGTTTTTGTTTTGTTTTCTTATAGACAGTTTGAAGAATTTTCAAAGATGAACCTCCAAAAAGAAAAAAAATGTTTAGTGATTTGCATACAAATTTTTTTCTTGTTCTTTCTTTAACTCTAAAGATAATATATTATCTTCTTGTCTGTAATCAGCTGTCAATAACAAGTCAGTCTTCTTTTCAAAAGCAAAATTACATTATGAATTCTACTGTAAGAATATCTAAACATTTCAATTTCAATATTAGAAAATACAGAAAGGAAGAAAATGGGACACCTAAAAATAAATTTATTTAAAATTAGATATAATAACTGGTATTTTGTGAGCACAGTTCCAGAGGAGACAAAAAAATGAAATATTTTTAAGTTTTATATTTAACATTCCCTCAAACTATCCTATTCATATTGAGAATTTGTCATTTTCAAGTTCCTGCTTTTTTTAAATGAAAAATTTTTTTCTTTGTTGTATCTTTTTGCAGTTGGAAGGTAGTCTGATGTTGGCAGGATTACTCCATTGTCTAATCGGTGCCACAGGTATTGTGGGAGTATTCATGAGTTACATTGGGCCTGTTACCATTGTCCCAGCTATCACATTAGTTGGTCTTTTCTTGTTCCGTGTCTCTGTAGATTTTTCAGAGTCACACTGGGGTATTGCTATTGGGTAAGTATCTTTACATTTTTTTTTCCTTTTATATAAGTAAAATATTAAGATTTAAAGTAATAAATTTTACTTTGACAACCTTCCACATAAAAGTAATGTTGGTGTTTTCTGTCTGAATTTCTCGGATGAGGAGATATCATTATTTACATTATGTAAATGAGGTCTATTGAATGCTCATTTACACAATGGCAGAAACATTATGATAATAGTGGCAAAGATGGGGACAATAGTCTGCATGTAAATAGTGCTTCCCTTCCTATCCATATCAGATTTAGTGCTTCTGCCTGCCATTTCCAGAAACTGTCCTCCATGATCTATTTGAACTTGTGAACAGTGAATTTCATCAGCAGTTCATTTTTGAAGTGAAGTATTTAAAGCATCAAATACATTCTTTTTTTATCAGTAGCTTTCATTGAATATTCATTGTTTCAGTAAGTAGATTAGAGGGAGATAATGTCACTGGATTTCAGGTGTATAGGAAAGGAAGCCTCTTCCCACTCATAATATGGTTCAATATTCAGTCATCCATGAAAAGCAAGAATATACATGGCCCTGCTCCACAATTGGATCAGGACACCCACATATGAAGTCTGAAATGTCTGGTGTTTTTTATGAACTGCAGTAAAGTCTACAAAGTAGGATCTTTAAAATGGCCACCCACTTGACCAAAAGGGAATGAAATAAATAGAAATAAATGAAAATTTAAGAACAAGTGCCACTTGGCAGAAGTTAGAAAATTCTGCTTATAGGCTTTTATAAACAGTCAAAGAATTAAAGGTAGTTCCAATGCCACGTGTAGTAGTTTCAAGCCATCCATCAGCACGTTGAATGTCACATATAATGGGTGGTAATAGTCAGAATTCTTGCTGGTTGAAGGGAAAAGCTGATCTGTTAGTTTGTCATGACAGAAGTAGCAACTCCAGACAATGCAAGTGAATGAAGAACCAAATATTTTGGAAACAGAATTCACATCTTCATGTCACTCTTTGCCATTCCGTTTCATTTTCCTTGTGAATGTATGCTGGGCCTTTCCCAGTTTTTGTACACATTGATGTGAACGAGAATAGAGACCCAATATGGGATGATTTGTTTGGTCAGCGAAAGACTGAGAGAAACATTTTCACAGTAGCAGAAATGTGGTTTAAAAAAATTTGGCCTGAATGAAACATTATATAATTACTTACAATACCTCATATAAAAAATATTCAGGTAAAACAATTTTTTTTTTTTTAATCATATCACCCCAAGCAAGTAAAGGGAAAGGTAGAGAATATGAGAAAAAAAAACTGTTAAGGAAGGAGAACAAAAGAAAAATAATTAAGAAAATAGAAGATAATGACTGACATTGCATTTAAAATTTTGAAGATCAAAGTTGACTGGAAAGCAAGAAGTCAGAAGAGTGTTCCACCAGCAAGAAGTGTGAGAAAAGAAACTATTAGTACAGAACATACAGTTACATCTAACCATTTCAACCGTAAAATGTTGAGACCTTACCACCAATTTAGTATTAGTACTGCACTTAAATTCATAAAGTCTCGTCCTGGGTATGACGTTAAACTGCATCCAACAGCAAGGCCTCTGATCAGGAGGTTTTAAGGAGCGTGGAACCACCTCTTAATTGCTGGTGTTCCCAGGTCCACCCTGACCCAGGGTGGTAGCACCTGTTAGGGTCCCAGCTATGGGCAAATAGTGAACTCCTAGCTTTCTACAGATCTTACCTACATCCTGGGTATGGCGATAAAATACGTCCAACAGCACGGCCTCAGATAATGTTTTCAGAAAAATGATGTTGCCAGCTATACGTTTTTGAAAAAATAATGTTGAGTGAAAAATTACATCAATTGGCTATGCAAATGAATTAGTTTATTTAATATAAATAACAAACTCATGCCAGATAGAAACATTTGAAACCATTTACTTGAGTAAGAATAAACAAGCTGTTGTTTAAGGACATTATCCTCAAATTATGTTCACAAAGTATATATATTTAATATATATGTGCAAACTGGATTTGACATTAAATAACCCTTAGTGGTTGATATGCCATAAAACCCCAAACAACCAACCAATCATAAAGTCTAGGTGCAATAGGGGAAAGTTCATCAGAACAATTACCATGAAATTATTTATAGAAAAGGCACAGCAAAGCTACATTACGGGAATGGAAAGTGACTGAAGTGTATATGTTTTTTTAGACTATGAGCTCTCAATAACTGAAATTGAGGATTTACAGATATGATCTAAAGATCACTTAAGGCATAGCTTTGTCCATACTGTCTATATATCTCTCCAATATTGAGCACTTCCCCCCCATAAATTTAACAAGTTTGAAACACGCACATGGGTGTATTTGTGTGTGTGTAAAAATTCAGATATAAATAAAATTTATCTGTAAAAAGACAATATGAATAGACAAAAGGATAACATTTACTAACACATTTATAGAAATACTCCTTTCCCAAGTGAACATACATAACCATAAAACTTTAAAAATGAAAAGAAAATAGTTAAATCAAAACCTTCTATTATTTAAAATACATAATTTATCAAATTAAAATAATAAATTCATTAATATAAATAAAGTAAATAAACTTATAAACAAATAAGAAAATAAAAAATTCAACAACAATATTTACTCACTTTCATTTATTAGGCATTAAATTACATCACTTAGCATCTTCCATAGTTTACCTTGACTTTTACAGTTAGCCTTGAGAATATTTTTAAAAATTCTTAAAGTTAAACATTTTTTAAACCTAATTTTTATTTCTTTCTAAATACATATTGTGAAATAAAACCCTTACATTTACCTTGAAAAAGTCCATCATAGGACAAAGCGTGTTGCTAAAGAAAAGTTTTCCTTTTGTCATGTGTGTGTATATATATATATATATATATATATATATATATATACACACACACACACACACACAAAGGAAAGAGAGAATGTTAATTTTTGACTGGCATTTTCTTTTTGGTGTATTTATCAGATTTGTAACTAATCTTTTTCTAAGTTTCCAAATTCAATTACAGGAATTTGGAGCAAAGAATGGTTTGGGCTAAGACTTACTCCTATCCCATACCACAAGAGTCATGTAGAAAACGCCTAAACCACTTTGATTACCAAATTCATACAGTCAAGCAGAATTCTTTATGTTTAATTCTAGTTGACTTTGCTTTATATCCCTTTAACTATCCAGTAATAATTGTCATATAAGTTTTCTGAGATTAAATTTCTACTATTATTCTGCTTGTACATATGACTATAAGCATTTTTATTTAACCTAGAATCAATCTCTTTCTCTCTCTAGCTGTAATTAGTAATACTTTTGAACAGAAACTTGCATAACATTAGATATAAAAAAAAAATTGAAAGAGGAGTAGGGAAAGTGTTATGAAGAATAGGTAGGAGGTACAAAAGTTAAATTTTAAAAAAATATATCAATAAAAAAAATGAAACTATTGACATACAACAAATATTAATAGATAATATCAAAGTACTATAGAACACTCAAATAAAAGTTCTAGAAGCTATTATTATACAAAAGAGACTACCTACATTAAATAAAATGTCATTCACCACTGGAGATGGTATCTTAAATTTTGTATAAAGTATTTAATATACATAAAAAAAAAAAAAAATGTATACATATTTGATACATGCTTTTCTGGTGGTGAAGTCCAGCTCTAATTAACCATTAGTCATGGCATTACTTAAGACAAATTTGAATTCCAGCAATCAAAAAATAAAAAAAATAATGCCAGGATGTAGCCAATAAAATCTTGTCCATCATATGAGCAACACACGATCATTTATAATGACAGATACAGTTGAAATTACATGAACAAAACAAAATTCATACAGTTTATCCACAATTTTGATCTTGATGTTCAACATTTTATTAAAAAATTGGAAAAATATTATAAAAATTGTTCATTGAATTTGTCAAAACTTGTTTGGAGATATATATATAATGAAAAAAATTTATTTCACCAAAATCCTTTTTGAAGGACTCCAGATCATCAGGTAACGCTTCCAACAACGAAATGAAAGGAAAAATGGAATTAGAAATTGATGGGTAGTGTAATTTTTGTAATTTAACAGGGACTTAATGATTAGGTCACTCCTCCTACCCCAATATAAAACATGCTTAAGAGAAATATGAAATTTGCCCCTCTCTATAATCTACCTTGTCTCGTTAACTACAACTATCACTCTCCCTGTTAAATTACAAAAAATTACACTACCCATCAATTTCTAATCCCATTTTTCCTTTCATTTCGTTGTTGGAAGTATTACCTGATGATCCGAGTCCTTCAAAAGGATTTTGGTGAAATAAATTATTGTAATGGTACCTTAAAGTGGTCTGTTTTTTCATTAAATATTAGCTCTGGATTCACATTGAGCTCTCAGGATTTCATCCTCCTTGGAATTACCCATTTGGTTTACCAAGTTCTTTACTTAAAATATATATATATATATATATATATATATATATATATATATATATATATAATGAGAGAGAGGAAAAGGGAGAGAAGGATTGTATACATATATAATGAGAAAAGAAGGGAGGATTGTATACATATAAAATGACAGAATAGGAGTAGTAGTATTGGTTTGGTTTAAGGCATATCAACCTCAATGGGTTATTTTTAATGCCGACAAGATTTTTATTGCTGATAATATTTTTTTTCCAAAAAGTAATTTGATAATTTTTTTTTTTTTTTTTTAAATGTATTTCTGGTGATTTTTTTTTTTTTTTTTTTTTTTCCAAATATATATTGCTGGTAATAATTTTTCCTCAAAAATTTATTGCTTGTAATAATTTTTTATAAAAATGTATTGCTGATATTAAAACCTATTTTTACACTTTCATAGTGTTTTGACCCCAGTTTGGGGGTTAACTATTTGCCCATATCTGGGACCCTAACAGGTTCTTTCACTCCAGATCAAGGTGGACCTGGGAACACCAGCAATTAAGTGGTGGCTCCTCAAA